GGCGTGAATTTGGCTCACTGTGTTCTCACTGGAATGGAAAATTACACACTCTGGAGTAAATCGATGCGTATTGCCTTGCTAGGAAAGAACAAAATTGGTTTTGTTGATGGCACTTGCAAGAAGGATATGTATGAAAGTCAGATGGCACATCAATGAGAGCGTGTGAATGCAATTGTGTTGTCTTGGATCATAAGTGTTGTGTCAAAGGATCTGGTAAATGGAATTGTGTATTCTTCAAATGCCCACAAGGTTTGGGCAGATCTCAAAGAGCGATTTGATAAGGTGAATGCCACGAAGATCTATCACATCCACAGAGGGATCGCAACATTGACTCAAGGTACATCGATTATTTCTGTCTATTTTTCGCGATTGAGTGAGCTTTGGGAGGAGTATGAATCCCTAGTTCCACCTCCCTCATGCTCACGTGATAAGTCTCGTGAGTTCATCAACAATCTGGAGCAACAAAAACTCATGCAATTTCTAGGTGGACTGAATGAAAATTACAATCAATCGAGAAGTCAAATTTTGATGATGCCATCCATTCCTTCAGTGAATAAAGCCTATTCTCTGATTATTCATGAGGAGAGTCAGCGTGCACATTTGAATGCGGTTGCACAAAGCTCTCACTCTAGACCATACTATGAGGAAGGTGAATTATCTGCTTTTGCTGCAGTTGCTATGTCACGATATGCTCCTAACTCCAAACAAAAATCTATTGTGACTTCTCGTTATGAGGAAGGTGAATCCTCAAATTCTGCTGCTGCTACAAATGACATCTACTCAAGGACTAACAATAATATGATAGTGAAGAAGAATTTCAATCTTCAATGTGAATTCTGTCATCTTAAAGGTCATACTAGAGATAAATGTTATAAGTTGATTGGTTATCCCCCTGATTTCAAATTCACCAGGAATAAGGATAGAGAGGATAATGATTTCAGAGGAGGAAATTTCAACAGAGGACAAAATGGATATAGTGGATACAAGACTGGTGGTTATAGTGCTCACAATACTCATCACAAAGGTTCACACAGTCATCAAGTTAATGCACCTCAATCAAAAGAACAAGGTTTCACAGCTGAGCAGTTTCAGAAGCTCCTCACATTGATTGGCAAACAAGACTCACCTGAAAATGTAGCTAACATGGCAGGTACTATCAATTGTTTTTTAGCTGATTTTAAGACTAACTTCTGAATTGTTGATACAGGAGCATCAAATCAGATGGTTTCCTCCATAGACTTAATGTCATCTAGTACTACTCTTTCACCTTCTCCTCATAACCAAGTTCATTTACCAAATGGTGATATAGCTCAAATCACTCATAAAGGGACTTGTCAACTAGACAAGGACCAACTTCTCAAAGACGTTCTGCATATACCTTTATTCAAATACAACATACTATTAGTATCCCAGCTCACTAAAGACTTACATTGTTTTGCTTGTTTTTACCCTGATTTCTTTCTTTTTCAGGATCTTTACACTGGCAAGGTGAAGGGGATTGGTAAGGTCAAGGATGGACTCTACATTCTTTCCACCAAATCACCATCACCAGCCACTAATTCCAGCTTACAAAGTATTTCTACTTGTCATTCTACTCATTCCAATGTTGTCAAAAGTTCTATATGGCATCAAAGGCTTGGTCATGCCCCAATCCCAATACTCACTCAAATTCCAGACATCAAGCACACTTTAGATAGAACTCAAATCTGTAATTGTCCAATTTGTCCTATTTCTAAGCAAACTAGACTTTCTTTTCCTATTCATTAAACAATTTCTAGTCAGCCTTTTCAATTAGTGCATATGGATGTATGGGGTCCCTATAAACATGACACTTACAATGAAAATAAATACTTTCTTACTCTTGTTGATGATTTCAGTCGCATGACTTGAGTTTTCTTGTTGAAATACAAAAGTGATTGTTTGCTTCACTTGAAAGTGTTTATTCATCTGATACAAAATCAATTCAACACCACTATTAAGATCATGAGATCAGACAATGGTCTTGAATTCATTAATTCTCAATGCATATCTTTTTTTCAATCTCTTGGTATTCTCCACCAACGAACTTGTGTTTACACCCCACAACAAAATGGGGTGGCTGAGAGAAAACATAGACACCTACTAGAGGTAGCCCGAGTTTTATGATTCCAAGGTTTTATTCCACTTAAATTCTGGGGTGATTGCATACTTGCTGCAACTTACATTATAAATAGGCTACCATCTAGTGTTCTTCATGGTACTTCACCCTATGAAAAGCTTCACAATACACCTCCTTCACTAGCTCACATGAGGACTCTAGGATGCTTATGCTATGCAACTGATCCCCATCCTCATGACAAATTTTCACCCAGGGCTATACCTGTTGTCTTCATGGGTTATTCTCCTACTCATAAGAGATATAGACTTTATGATCTTCAATCCCATACTTTTTTTGTTAGTAGGGATGTTCGTTTTCGGGAACACATTTTCCCCTTCAAACAAACTCCTGCATCTTTTTCTGATTCCTCTTCCCTTAGTTTTCCTCTTCCATCATATCTTCTTGATCCAGATTCCACAACTCCACCTGCTAGTTCAGACCTTATCTCCCAACCTCTATCTGTTCCATTGGTATCCCCTCAACCATTACTTTCTCTATCTCCAGTTTCGCAGGCTCTTACTCTTGTCAATTCTTCCCCTGCTTCACCTCCATCTCACAAAAGACCATCCAGGGCCACTAAACCTCCTATTTAGCTATCTGATTATGTTCATTCCCTACCTTCTACAAGACCCCATGCTCATTCCATTCATCATGTTATCCAATACTCTCATCTTAGCCCTGCATACAAAGCTTTTCTTTCCAAATTTTCTACTATCATTGAACATACCTCTTATTCTGAAGCCATATTGGATGATAGATGGGTTCATGCTATGAAACAAGAGATTGATGCTCTTGTGATTAACAATACATGGGAGGTTGTTGATTTACCAGTTGGAAAGAAACCCATATGTTGTAAATGGGTCTATAAGATCAAATATAATGTTGATGGGTCCATTGAAAGGTTCAAAGCTCGCCTGGTGGCTAAAGGTTATACTCAGCAAGAAGATGTTGATTTTCATGACACTTTTTCCCTTGTAGCTAAAATGGTCACTGTCAGATGTGCTATTTCCTTGGCTGCAATGCATAACTGGCCTGTTTTCAAATGGATGTCTTCAATGCTTTTCTACAAGGTGATCTTCATGAGGAAGTTTTTATGGTACTGCCTCCAGGTTTTGGTGGGGAGACATCTAAGGTTTGCAGATTGAAGAAATCATTATACGGACTTAAGCAAGCATCTAGGCAATGGAATATAAAGCTCACTACTGCATTAATCAACTTTGGATTTCAACAAAGTAAGCATAACTATTCCTTGTTCACAAAAGCAGTAGAGCAGAAGTTTGTAATGATACTCATTTATGTCGATAATTTGCTGATTACTGGAAATGATCTACAACTTATCAAGGAGTCACAGAACATTTTGCAACAAAACTTCAAAATCAAAGATTTGAGGGAACTGAGATACTTTCTAGGCATAGAGTTTTTGAGGTCCAGCAAAGAAATATTGATGACACAAAGGAAGTACATATTAGAGTTGATCTCAGAATGGGGTCTAGCAGGAGCAAAGCCTGCCATAACACCCCTGGAACAACATATGAAGTTTACTACATCTGACTATGACAAACACCTAAGGAAGCAGGATGATGATGACTCAGATGATCCACAACTGGTGGACAAAAATGCTTATTAGAGATTAGTAGGAAAACTTCTTTACCTAGCAGTCACTAGACCAGACATTTCATATGCAGTGCAGACTCTTAAGTCAGTTCATGCATGATCCGAAACAATCTCATCTAGAAGGAGCACTTCATGTAGTGAGATATCTAAGGGAAGACCTGGTTTGGGCATTCTATTAAGTAGTGAAAAAGACAATACACTTAGAGGTTTTTGTGACTCTGATTGGGCATCATGTGCAGTGACAAGAAAATCAGTAACAGGTTATTGTATGAAGTTGGGAAGTTCTCTGATTTCTTGGAGATCAAAGAAGCAAGAAACTGTATCAAGGAGTACTGCTGAAGCAGAATACAAAAGCATGGCATCTGCGGTAGTTGAAATCATTTGGCTTGTGGGATTATTGAATGAAATGAACATGAAAGTGAGAGTACCAGTAGAGTTGTTTTGTGACAACAAAGATGCCATTCAAATTGCTGGGAATCCTATATTTCATGAAAGGACTAAACACATAGAAATAGATTGTCACTTTGTAAGTGAAAAGATACAGAAGGGACTGATCAAGACACTGCATATCCCTGAAACTGATCAAGAAGCTGATATTTTGACTAAGGCTTTGGGAGGTCAACAACATAATTACATATTAGACAAGTTGAGGTTAATAGATGTATTTCAACCCTCAACTTGAGGGGGAGTGTTGAGAATATGAAAGTTGTTAGTAACTAACTTAGAGATTAATTAGTTCAGTAAATTACTATTAGCTATTAGACAGTTAGTTAGTAGTAAATTCCTTTCAAGTATTGAGTCGGTTAGTTGTACGTGTATAAATAGATGATCACGTTGTATATGTGTAGTTAGCTTTGATCAATAATACTGGATTCTTCTTTCTCTCCAGAACCTTCTCTCTCACTCTATACTTTGTTTCAATATCTAATTTACTGTTTTAACAGGAAAGATCATAACTTTTCATAAAAGTTGCACTCTTCATTGAAGTCACAACTTTTCATGCAAAAGAAGACTAGTTTTGAAAATAAATAAATTAAAAGGGAATCTTGGTTTGTGGTGGCGCCACATAGGCAGACCTAAGTTCTCTTTTATATATATATAATATATGATATGTTAATATATAATTATTTTAAAATACAGAATGAATTAATATACTATATAATAAGAATATTTATCTAATTAAATACATAATTTTCTCTTATATTAACGAAAACGATAATATAAAGCATTTTCTCTTAAATAATTGCAAACGAAAAACCCTGAGCCTCCTTGTCGACAAAAATCCCATCACTGAATCTCTCTACCGGTTCTTGTCCATTTCTGCAAATTTGGCGAATTGAGTTCTTAAATCTACTTCTAAGCTTACCCTTTTCTTGAATAGGGGTGAAAAAGAGGATCTTGGATTGTAAGCTCCATCATTCATTAACTGGTAAACAATTTAACTATCACAAGCAGTATGTTATGGTGATTTCTCTGATTTTACTCTAAATTTTGTTTCCAAGTATTGAATATATTAGTTTTAGGATTTTGGGTTTTCAGTTTAGCTCTGATGCGTATGTAAGTTTTTGTGCCATATTGTTATTTGTTGTGTTAGTGGTTGCTACTTGTTATTCTGTGAATGAAAGGACTTGGTTTGCTGCACTTGAGCGGAGCGGAGGGTCTTTCGAAAAACGGTGGTAGAGTAAGGTGTGCTACACCCTGCCTCCCCACAAATCCCACTTGTGAGATTACACTGAATGAATATGATGTTGTTGGTTTGGGTTGTGAAAAAAAAGGTGTCTTTCTCAGGTGAATGACTGTTGCTTTAATGTAAATAGTTGATATGGTCGAGTTGAAGTATGCAACACTGACGCAATGTCATATGCCATTACATTTTATAGATTCATTAGAAGTGAGAAAACTCCCAAGGAAGGGCCTGCATACACTCTACCCTTCCCAGACCTCACTCGTGGGATTACACCGGGTATATTGTTGTTGGTTTGGATTGTGAAAAGATGTGTCTTTTTCAAGTGAATGACTGATGCTTTAATCTGAATAGTTGATATGGTCTAGTTGAGGTATGCAACACTTTTGCAATGTCGTATGCCATTCCATTTTATTGATTCATTAGAAGTGAGAAAATGAAACTAGTGAAAGAGTGGGGATGGTTTATCTTTACATGAAAAACGGGGTATGTTCAAGATTCTGTCCTATTTTGGATAAATGAGTTTTAAAAGGTGATTGTCCCGCGAATTAAATAAAAAATGTTGATTGTGCAGGTGTAAACTGAAAAATATAGTTATATGGGTGAAAAGTGTTGTGTTAGGCCAAATTCTGGGGCCTAAAGTAGAGGCTTGAGCTGACCGTGCTTATTTCTCATGTCTGTATGAGAGTTGGGATGGAGTATAATTTCTTTTTTTCTCTACCCTAACAGCTGCATATAATCTTCAGGTGGAATTTGAGTCACGGATCCTGCAGTCTTGTTAACTTGGATGAAAGCTATTTGGCACAAGAAATGCAGTCTCTGTTCTTCATCTAGGTTATTTTCATCTTCAGTTCAATGGATTTCTCCTCTGCATTACCAGGGAAGGAATTCCCTGAGGCCAGATGCTCCTATCAAGAGAGACGGCACTTCAGAACAATTGCCAAGAAAACGCAAGTATATATCTCATGAATCTGCAGTCAATTTGATAAAACAAGAGAGGGATGCACGACGTGCCCTGGAGATCTTTAACAAGGTTTCTGATCAGAAGGGTTTCAATCACAATAACTCCACCTATGCTGTTCTTCTCCATAGACTTGCTGTTTGCAAGAAATTCGAAACAGTTGATGCTATTATTCATCAGATGAAATATGAAACTTGCAAGTTTCATGAAGGCGTATTTACTAATCTCATGAAGCATTACTCCAAATCCTCTCTCCACGAAAAGGTTCTAGAGATGTTCAATGCAATCTTGCCTATTGTTCGGGAAAAGCCTTCCCTCAATGCCATTAGCACATGTCTGAATCTGCTTATTGAAGCAAAACAGATTGAACTGGCGAAGGAATTTCTCTTAAACGTGCAGAAGCATCTAGATTTGAAGCCCAATACCTGCATTTTCAATATCCTGGTCAAGTATCACTGCCGAAAAGGGGATGTTGAAGCTGCATTTGTAGTAGTGGAAGAGATGAGGAAGTCCAGAGTTTCTCATCCTAACTTGATTACTTACAGCACCCTCATGGATGGCTTATGCCGCTGTGGAAGGCTTCAAGATGCACTTGACCTTTTTGAGAAAATGCTTGCTAAGGATCAGATTCCGCCAGATGCATTGACTTACAATATCTTAATAAATGCATTTTGTCGGGCAGGAAAGGTGGATAGAGCTAGGAACATAATAGGATTCATGAGGAAAAATGGATGTCAGCCAAATATAGTTAATTACACAGCTTTGATGAATGGATTTTGTAAGGAAGGAAGAGTTGGAGATGCCAAGGAGGTATTTCACGAGATGAAGGGAGTAGGCCTAAAACCTGATGTAGTAGGATATACAACATTAATAAATTCCTTCTGTAGGGCTGGTAAAGTTGACAAAGGCATTGAGTTGCTAGAAGAAATGAAAGATAAAGGGTGCAAAGCTGATGATGTGACAATAAAAATCATACTCGGGGGATTGTGCAGAGCCTCCAGATCAAGTGAAGCTTTCGATATGCTTGAGAGGTTACCTTATGATGGTGTCCATCTAAGTAAGGAAAGTTACAGGATCGTGTTAAATTTCTTGTGTAAAGAAGGTGAGCTAGAAAAGGCGATGGACTTGTTGGGTTTGATGTTGGCTAGACGATTTGTGCCCCATTTTGCTACGTCAAATGAATTGATAGTTCAACTATGTGAGGCTGGAAAGGCAGCTGATGCAGCTTTGGCATTGTTTGGGCTGTTAGAGATGTCGTTTAAGCCAGAGCCTCGGACATGGAGTATGTTGATAGATGTTATATGCAGGGAAAGAAAGTTGTTGCCTGCATTTCAATTACTTGATGAGTTGGTTCTGCATTAGTTACTACTCACATGTGTTGTGATTTTAGGCACTTTGTATTCTTCTTCAGTGACTTTTTTTATAAAGAAGATAGTTGAATATGCCAATTTCGGCGTCATTAGGTTGCAAGCAGACATCAACATATGCTCATTTGAATGAGCTGAGGAGCTATGCAATAACTCATTTCAACTAACACATAGTTCTTATTGTATTCAATTAATAACGCGTAGACCATAACTAAAATAGTTCACAATCTTTATATCCGACTGCTGAAGAAATGGTTGATAGAGAGCTCAACAAAAAACCTTGATAAAGTAAAGATTCAACAATAATTTGATAGAAAATGTGTGCATAACCACAACCGCATTTCATTCTCAACCATGATTTAAGATAACATAAAAATCCATGGATATTCTCCAAAAAAATCTACGAGAACGAGAGCCACCAGTTCTTCAGTCGATACAACTCCCAAAAAGAGAAGAGGATAGAATAGAAACAAGGTTTCTTATAAACAGTCCTCTAAAATGAGGTTTGTGACTAGGGCAGTGTTATCGGCTTCTCTATACATGTGCAAAAGATAGTACAATAGCCTAATTGATATCAACTACAGATCCAGCTTTTGTGCATTCCAACTCCTTTAATATGTGGTGGTGCCAGTAGGATCGCAAGATATACTACAATGGGAAGGTGTGTCTTGGCTTTACCATATTGAGTGCTTCATACCAAGACCGTTACACGTTAGAATAAGACCCTTGTAGCGATTAAGGTATTCCTGCAATCAAACGTCAGAGCAGTGTTAACAATGAAGACATAGTTAAGTACCTACACTAAACAGGAAGAAAAATTTGGGAGGAAACTTACGACGATATTGTAATCATAGGCTCGTAGCATCCCTTTCTTGTCATATTCTTGTCGTTTCACAGGATCACTCAAAACTGTTTTGACACAATTAGAAAGTTAAAATATTGGGAATGGATTCACACAAAACTGTTGGTGAACATGTCACTATGGTCTGCATTATCACATTGTCCGACAAGGCAGCTTATATACAACTGTTGTCAAGTGTCAAACCACTTGTCCAATGCGTAAAATTTTTGGATAACTTTATATATGCCATTGGTGTTTCAATCATAAAGCTTGGGTTCCTATTGTTAAACCCCCTACCCTCCAGAAATTTTATTTACCTTGGGATGTCAATGATGTCAAGGAGGATAACTTTCCAAAAGTAAGGAGGACTTTAAGTGACACCTATATAATTCAAATTTAGGTTCCGAATTTAAAGAAAGTATTACTACAACTTTTAAGCTTCTGGATACCGGCATCAAGCTTAAAATTACTCTCTTTCTCCCATTCACCCACATACCATAGTAGATAGTATTACCACCACTGTCACAAGAAAGTTCTGAGGAACTAGTATCCTTGCACACTCCACTTAAGAATACATACTTCACACAGGAATTATTGCATCTGTTCATCTCCTCAAGTTGTGTGTAGACTCTCTCAGATTACGCAACTACAAGCTCTAAAGCATCAGTCTATTTATCTTGTTATATCGCTAACTTCTTACAAGCAGTTAGATCATAAATTGTTTTAAATTGGATTGTTTCTTTCCCACGATATGCAAGAAAATAGGCAGCTCAAAAAATAAAGACACCTCTTACAAACATACCCAAACAGTTTATACCAGTCCTAACTTGGAAAATTAGCTTGCATTAAATTTTTCATTGACTATTAACTAGAAAGACCATGACGAGGGTCCTCTTCGGATATATTCTGAGTTTGTCTAACAAACAATAATTGAAGTCTCATTTAGTGAACTTGTAATTCCTAGATCAGTTGGTCAACACAGAAAGCATAGCCAAGTCCCAGCTAAAATGAGGAGGTTAAAATACATTGACATCTACCCTAAAAACAGGCAACCCTCGGAATATTGAATGACAGAATTCCTAATTCAAATTGAAATGTACAATGATTTGGGACATAATGTCTCGATACCGACTGTACAATGGATGGGCTAGCAGCGATCTTGCCTGAATCTAGAATGGGAAATAAGTGTTTGATTTTCAAGTTACTCAATCAATCATGTTACTTGCAGTAGACATAGGCTATTAAACAAACTCACTCCAAGAAAACCCAGATATGAACTAAATATTGACTGATTGCAGGTTGAAAACTCTGTATAAATCAACTTTGATTTGTAAAAGGCTTAGAAAATAGCCTTAAGAATCAAATAAATGATTACAGCTATGAAAAAGAACCAACCTTGGTACGCCTCGTTTATTTCCTGAAACTTTGAGGTAGCACTATCCTGATCTTTTTGCTTATCCGGATGCCATTTCTGTCCGCAGAACAAAAATTATAAAACAATGCTCGAACTAAGAAAATGAGATATACACACCTCATAGATCAGATACAATGACATGTATGACACTCACAAAGGTGGAAAAATCATAAATCAGGTATAAAGGAATTGGTTTAACATGGATAGAATGAAAACTAACCAATGCAAGACGGATAAAATTGGACCGAATGACCTCCTCCGTGGCATCATAATCCACTTCCAGTATTCTATAGTAATCCTACATTCAAGAAATGCAAAACCACAAGTCAAGACTGCAACTTTACACAACATTCCAGCAAATAAACCCAAAATTCCCTTCCAGTATCCCAAAATAATCCTACACACACATTTGAGAAACATAAAAACCCAAACTTGACACAAATTTCTATAACAAAACCCACAACAAGAATCCTATAATAATCCTACAAAAAACACAAATAGTCAAGAAATGCAAACCTCACCAATCAAAAATCCAAACTTGACAACTAATTTCTAAAATGAAACCAAAACCCACAACCAGAATCCTAAATAGTCAAGAAATGCAAACCCCACCAACCAAAAACCCAAACTTGACACAAATTTCTAAAATAAAACCAAAACCCACAACCAGAATCCTATAATCCTCCTAGACATAACAAAAAAAGTCAAGAAATACAAACCCAACCAATCAAAAACCCAAACTTGACATAAATTTCTAAAACAAAACCAAAACCCACAACCAGAATCCTAGAATAATCCTACATATAACACAAACAATCAAGAAATGCAAACTCCACCAATCAAAAACCCAAACTTGACAACAAATTTCTAAAACAAAACCAAAATCCACCACCACTATCCTGTAATAATCCTACACACAACACAAACAGTCAAGAAATGCAAACCCCACCAATCAAAATACAAACTTTACACAAATTTCAACAAAGAAAAACCAAAATCCTTAGATAAAGTACCTTGGGTTTAGACAACACTGACAAGAAATCAAATTTAAGATAAGAATCATCTTCTTCTTCTTGCTGCTGCTGTTCTTCCTCGTATTCTTGTCCAAATTCATTGCCCCACTCGTCCCACATCATCTTTTCTTTTCAAAAATAGTTTCAGCACTGGAAAAATAAGAAACCCACAAAGGATTTATGTGGGTCTTTTTACCAGAGCCAACAGAAAAAAAAGATTTTGTTGGGAAAAAAAACAAGAAATATGATAAAAATCTAGTCTTTTTTTTTATAAGTTTTATCTAGATAAAAATAATAAAATGCAGGTCTAGATACCCGCTAAGATGAGAAAAATTATGAGAGAATTTTATCTAATCCGAAGAGGCAAGAGACAATCCCACAAAAAGAGGCAGACCAAAAAAAAGAGATAAAATTGAACAAAAATAAGGAAAAATCGATTAATTAGGATTTTCAAAGTCCTTTGGGGCCATTTTTTGCACTTTTGTTTGGGTTGTTTCCTTGTTTTTAAATTTTTATTATCTACTCAGAATAATTAATTAGTTAATTTAATATATATTTATATTTTTTTCATAATATCTCACTAGTTATATCAGCATCTTTAAATAATAAATTTAATTCTAAGAGTAAAAGCATATAGAAATTGAATTTAGAACTTGTTTAAATGAACTTATAAATTTACGACTATTAGCATAAGTCATACGTTATGGTTATGGGGATTCTATTTATCGCCGTAGGATCCTTATTCAAGATCACTGCAGTTTCTTTTCGAGCGGTTGTAGGACAGCCGCCTAAAGGTTAGGGTAGGGTGGGTGGTATCGCTCCCAATCTTTCTAACTGCGCGCGGAGCGGGCTTAGAGCACGTGAAACTCATCACTAACTCGTAAGGGCGTTGAGACCATAGCATGTTACATGAAAGTGCCGCTTTCTCTGTAGTGTTGTCACACAGTTACCGCGTAGACGTTAACTTGGACATTTTTGATACTTAAAACTATTTTTTTATTTTATTCAATTATTATAAAAAATATTTTGACTTAAAAACATCTAAAATGAACTCTAATGGTGTGAGATTGGAGTTCAAAATTGTGAAATTATATATTTCAACTATACGACTTTTCAAGTTGAAATCATCAAAGTCAAACTTAAATAAAATGTACTATGACAAAAATATTTGTTTATTAATAAGCTGAGACTTCAAAGCTTTTTATAGAAATATAATGAAATTTGTCAATATTGATTATAAATCAAGTACTTTTAAAAAAATAAAATATAACTCAAATAATGCGTATAGATTCGAGATTATCAGAGATAATTCCTACATCAAAAACATACATGATGGAGAAAACAATTCAATAGTAAAAGTTTGGTTATCTTAAAGAACCATAAATAAATAATTTAATTTGATATAATTGGCGTTTTGATAATGCAGTATTTAAATTATTAGCTATTATACGAGTTCTAAAAATATTATTATTTTTAATTATGAAACCATAGAGTTGACTAACGATGAGTACATGAATTATTCTGTATAATAAAATGTTAGTACTAAACTATTAGCCTACTGGGGAATCTTTCTTAGTTTTTTTCCTTTTGAGATAGTGAATTACCATGATTTTCTTTTAAGAAATGTATTTAATTTAAATTTAAGAAAGGGAGTAGGTGACATTCAATTATTTCTTCTTCTTTTTCCATTCATTACTGGTTGGAATAAAATAAAAAAGATTTTGTGAATGTTAATAAGAAAGAAAAAAAAAATGCTACAATAATAATATACTCAGGGTAATCTCAACAGTGTAATATGAGAAATGTAGTGCGTAGACAGATCTTTCCATATTTGTAAAGGTAGAGAGATTGTTATCGATAGATCTTCAACTCAAGAAAAAAAATAAAATTAAAGTTTTGAAAAGAAATACGAAAGTGAAGAAGTTATGACAAAATATTAAATATAACATGATACAACTACAACAAATTAATACTATAATAATGTAAAAAAAAACAAATAACAACATAAACCAAAAAAATAATACAACTACAAGTATGAAAGGGTAAGTGAGACAACTCTCAACTATCTACTGTCCATGAGGCCATCTACCTTAATTTGTATTCTTCATAACCTCTCATCTAATAATTAACGCAAGCCATGTTGAATTTTGGAAAACAAATATTACTAGATTCACGCAAAGAATTACAACTATAGAAAGAAAAGAAAAAGTTGATTTTTGTCATAACAAAATCTATGTAATTTAATATAGTAGTATTAAAGTTGAATTTTGAAATGGAAGCACAAGTTGATCTCATTACTACTTGGACTATGACAAGGTAGAACAATTTGAATGGTTGCAACACATCCAAATCAGGTGGCCCATAATGCAAAAGGAATTGAAGGAAATGTTCCTCAATCAAAAGTGACAACATTTGCCAGTTTCACTTAGGAAGAGAAGAAGATTAATTGCACATCTCCTGTGTTAGTTATTACCTATTGTATACATTGAAGGATATCAAGTAGAGGCACACCTAAAGAGTGAAATGTTGGTAGTGAATTCTTTCATTTTTTTACATAGATCAAGATACACAAGTGTATAAAATTCAGAAAAGTATTGTACATATTAAGTTTTGAATCAAAAACTTAGAATCTTGAACCTCCTAAATATAAATTTTAAATTCATCACACACCTCTTTTCTTTGTTGATACTTTAATTTGTTTTTTGTAGAATTTTGTAGGGTTTATGGGGATGTAAGGTGTATGTAGATCTTACTTCTACCTTTACGGGATAGAGAGGTTGTTTCCGATAGCGAAGTAGAGTTGCAAGAAAATAATATAACAAAAATTATATCAGGATTCAAAGAAAATGAAGCAAGAAATAGTAAAACTTTGAAGAAATAAATACTAAACACTACCAATAATAAGGTTGCGAGGAGATGGGGCGAGCGCCAACATCAACTACCTACAGTACTAACATTGTGCCCTAATCCACGATCTCTACACCTTTCAACTTAGGGTCATTTCCTTAGTAAGCTAAATGTATATCATATCCTGTATAATCACCACGTCCCAATTCTTCTTCGACCTACCTCTACCTCTCTTAGCTCCTTCTACAACTAACCTCTCACACCTCTTTGCATGCCTAAATCATTTCAGCTTCACATTCCTCGTATCGTCCACCACATAGGTCACTCCTACATTGTCTCATATAACTTCAGTCCTAATCATATCTCTCCTAGTATGTCCACACATCTATCTAAGCATCCTCTCCCTACACCAACATTGGTCCAAACACCACACTAGAACTATCAAATATGAGGTGAAATATGTCCAAAATGCCTATTAAAGATACATGATATTTGTAGAAGAAGAAACCGATCGAATCAAACAACATAGAAGAAGAATATCCAAGAAGCCGACCCATGTCCTTGAACTACCACAAAATAGCACCAATACCTCCAAAAAACCCAAATCATCACCAACCAATCTCAGACACCAACCCCATATCAACTTCTTGTTTTACAGTTTGAAAAATTTAATACTGTCACATACAATACCCTGTATACCAAAAAAAAGTAAAAAATATCAACCAACAATGACCATCACAGCACTAGTATAGTATACAAAGAACCCCCCTTTACCTTCCAAAAGCCAAATAAACCAAAAAGGGTCTTTCTTTTTTTCAACTATGGCTTCTTGATCTCTCTTTCTCCTTGTTTATATCGCTTCCTAATTTGCTTTTACAGCTCTTTTTTATCATTGGGTGTGTGAATTAATGGCTTCTTCTTCTCTCTCTAGCATCTACTCACCTTCTTCATCTTTCAAATCTGAAGTGAAATCCATTCACAAAATCACTTCTTCCCAATTGGGTTCAATTTATTTGCCCAATAAATCAAGATTCCATGTTCACGCGGTGGCGCGTGAGGTTTCAGCGAGCTTGTCGGCCGGAAACAATGACGTTGTTCACAAGTTGAAGGAGAATGTTGGGTTGGAGAAAAACCCGAATGCTCTATGGAAGAGATATGTTGACTGGCTTTATCAGCACAAGGAGTTGGGTTTGTATTTGGATATTAGTCGAGTTGGATTCACTGATGGGTTTCTTGAGGAAATGGAGCCTCGTTTGCAAAAGGCGTTTAAGGATATGGTGGATTTGGAGAAGGGAGCTATTGCAAACCCAGATGAGGGTAGAATGGTGGGTCACTATTGGTTGAGAAGTCCTCATCTTGCTCCCAACTCATTTCTCAGGTTGCAGATTGAGAATACTCTTGAAGCTGTTTGCCAGTTTGCAAATGATGTCGTCAGTGGTAAGGTCAGTTGGTGTCAACTCTGCTTTTTGAGTTTCAGCTAAAGTCCATCCTTTTATTTGCTTTTTTTGTGCTGCATTAAGAACCCCTAATTTGTGTTGAAATAGAGCACTTGTGAAGCTGATTTTGCAATTGGTGTGGTTGATTGCCTTTCGGTCTGCTCGAATAATCTTAAGCTATAAAAATCTTAACTTTGGCCATTTTTGATGATCTCTATTTGTTTTTGATCAACCTAGAGGCATATAGTTAAAAAATTATATGATAAGAGTAATGTAGTTTCAGTGATTGTTTGGGAATGGAAATAGTAAGTAGTAATAAGCTTATAATGACCTTTTGACTTAGAGTTGTTATGTGCTTTATGTTTCTAACTTCTAAATCCTTTTAAGCCTCAACATCTGAAAGCATATTTTGGCTCCTTTGATTGATTATGGGCTGTTGTATCCCAAAGCTTGGTCAACTTATTGTGAATTACAACATCTACTTTGCAGATCAAGACTCCTTCTGGTGGCCGATTTACGCAAATTCTTTCCGTTGGAATTGGTGGTTCAGCTCTTGGACCACAATTTGTGGCTGAGGCATTGGCACCTGACAACCCTCCTCTGAAGGTAAGTGGCAATTATGTTCAAATATCAGTGATTGTTATGTTTTGAAATTTCTGGGGTAACTGAACTCGCTCTTTTAGCAGTAAAGTATTTAGGTGTATTACCAAATTTTCCTCAACTTCAAATCCCATGAGAACAAAAGAGGAATATATCTTCTTAGTCAGCTTCCTATATCGAGCATATTACTCAACATGTTGTGAGTACCTATATCATAAAATTTCCAGTATGTCGCCATCTAATGTGCACCTTTGCTTAAACTGGTGCTGCACAACATCAAAGCCAATGCAAGTGACTTGACTTAATCCTATCCCTTATTCTTGCATCTGTAGTGATCATGATGATATTG